CCATTCAGACTGCTGCAGATGCCCCTGTGAATATGCATTAATGCCAATTCATTTAACCAGTCTTGGACCATTCTGGATCTTATCCAATTTTTCAGCCTTCTGAGTGTTGAAAAACTTCTTTCAGAAGATGCAACACTTACAGGTAGGCAACAAAATAGTTCCACAAGGATGTTCATGTTAGGAAACAAATGTTTGTTACATTCCTTCAGGGCAGTTATACCATTGTTTGGTATATTTTGCTTAGTATCCCTCATTTTCTTCCATGTATACATTTCAGGAACGATCTTCTGGAAGGACATTTCATTATCCTCCCCAAAAGTGTTCAAGTATATTTCCCATACCTCATAAATTTCCTCATCTGTTTTGTTTTCAGTTATTGAGATGGCACACAAAGGTGAAGGTTGTATAGATTCAATTCATTTTCTGATATTCCTTCTTTCAGATCAATAATAATACTGGAATGAAAAAAGTTATTCTGTAATGGTCATCCACTGAGGAAACCGTATTTGGTCTATGAACCATTCTCCCTGTTATTCTCGGCATCGAAAATTCAACATTCAGTTATTTCAATTTCTGTTTGGCTGCATTCGAAATACTCAGATAGTAGGTATTTAGAATATCACCCCTTTTATCTGGAAGCGTCTGAAGAGTGATACTAACGACATCGTTAGCTTGTTTTTTGTTTGGAGCAAATTACTAAGTGGCAGTGTTATCGAAAATATATTTGCCAAACAGCAGAGTGTAATTACAAATTCGCAATTCCTTAAAGCTGTTGTGAAGTTTCTAGCTTTGAAGACATGCACTAATTTTTTCATTTATTCAAAATACCTACATTTTTACATGTCCATGAGGTGCCCCATGGCCCCCCCCCTGGATCCGCCCCTGCATTTACATGTATATTTTCGTAATTGAATGTTGGTTTTGTATAAAATGTTGTTCGCCCTGTATCTCCTGAACGGATTTCCGAAAATCATAAAAAGACAACATATATTCTTAAAATAGTTCAAGGAAGAACCGTTTGCCGCTGGTGCATATAGATATTATAAATTATATTGTTAGCTCAATGGTGTTATAATTATGAGATTTTGAAAGACTGTGATGATGTTGATTAAATAAGTATGACTAGTAAAATTGACCATCATTTATTTAGAATGTACGAGTATACAACCGCTTTGAATCCTATCACTTGGATTTTTCCTTCTTTTTTTCTACAATATAATAGTTGTCCCAGAACAAAACGTACCATAAATTCTACAGGGTGAACTAGAGATCAAAATAGGCCGATCAAAATCAACTTACCTCTATACGAAAATGTACCATATTCAGTAGTGGACGATGAAGAACAATGTTATTTCCAGAGATTCCCTTCAATATTTCGAAAACCTTGAAAGGCCTACTGCTCTGACACTCATAGGGCATTTTGATATAGTGAATCTGCATGGAAAACATATCGTACCGTATTTCGCATTCTCTTTGATAAAAATATTGATGTAACTTTTTTGGATTACGGTACTGACCACATTTGGAATATTTGGATATTTCAAAATATGACAGAATCTTCATAATTTTGGTGCTTCTATCGATACTAGTTTATGAGCTCTTCATCATATTATGATTTGGGAGCTGGTCATTTTCAAACATCAGTTCAGGATTTCTGGTAAAATAACTTTATTGAAGAAAAAATAAATAGATTTGAAGATGGCCAACAACATTGACATTATGATATAGTAGTTCATAATGGGTAATTAATTATACACCAAGGTAATATAAAATACCAATATCGTCCAGGGACCAAAATTATATCCCGAGGGTTTATAAAATGACGAAAACTATCTTTTGGTAGTAAAAACAAACTTTACGCCTTCGAAAGGAGTAAATAATGGTAAGTTATATAGCTAGTGGTGGAAAAACATGATTATTGTGGTCAATAACTCAACAGAAATGAGGTAAAAACTTGCAAAACATGATAATCGTTATAATCATAAACAAAAGTATAAAGGAGCACCAAAATTAATTATATTAGATATCCCGTAATCCAAGAAAAATTATAAAAACGCCGCAGTTACAAAAAAATGAGATAAATCATTTTGTCATTCATCTAGATATCAAAATGTGGTCAGTGCCATACTCCAAAAAAAGTTACATTACTTTTGAATGTGAAATACCTAACTCCCTGTATATTGATTGAATTGGTATGGCATGTTATCCATGCACATTCACTATATTAAATTGGCCCACGAATTTCAGAGCAGAACCTTTCAAGGATTTTGAAATATTGAAGAGTATGGAAATCAAATTGTTCTTCATCGCCCTCAACGGTGCATTTTCGTATAGAAGTTGATTTTTATCAACCTATTTTGGTCTCTAGTTCATCCTGTAGAATTTATGGTACGTTGTTCTGGGACACCTTGAATTTCTGTAGGGGAAGAATTATCAAACTTTGTTTCCAGAAATATTCAATATTTGAAGCATAGAATAATTTGAATTAGCTTATGGGTCGATTGAAAATTTCCTACACAAGGATGTATAAGGAATATTATCAAAAAATATACAAGGTGTAAAATCCTGTCTGTAGGTTAATCAAGGCGGCGGGTGTGGTATATTCATTATCGCAGATTTTTTGAGATTTTCTCCTTCCTATAAAATAAAAATATGAGTATTATTTCAATATTCATATGTACTGAGGACAACCACAAACCAGATGGTTCAACCCAAAATGTCACTGCATTTAAAACATTTTCCTTTTTTTTCTTTTGAATTGACTCGGCCGTTACTTGATGGAAATCTATGACAAATGTAAAAACTTCACAAACGATAAGATTTCCACAAAATTTTTAAACGCACGACATGTTTCGCTAACACAGTAGCTTCGTCAGGTCACAGGTCAGGTGATATACTGGTACAATGAACTAAACTAACGTTGGCTTGCTTAACTTTTATATATCTTACTTTCCCAACCTGAAGGATTAGTTACCTGTGGACAGGTACGATAAACCTCAGTTTTCGGAAATTAGGCACAATATCTACATTAAATTAATTAATGTAGATATTGTGCTTAATTTCCGAAAACGGAGGTTTGAAGCAAGCCAACGTTAGTTTAGTTTTAGTTCATTGTACCAGTATATCACCTGACGAAGCTACTGTGTTAGCGAAACATGTCGTCTGTTTGAAAATTTTGTGGAAATCTTATCGTTTCCCAGCCAACCATCGTGTGACATCAACATCTGTGTGATGTAATAACCTTGCATAAATGCAATATCTCGTTAACACACCTTATCGACGTAGATTCGATATCAACGTCGCAAAGTGACATCGCAACCAGGAAACTATGTAATGTGGCAGCGACTTCTTCAAACTACATCTCTTCGACGTTTACTAAATAATTCACATGTAAGTGTATTTGATATGTATCATTTATGAATAATGTATATTTGTATTGCTATATATATGTGTCTTGTTTTACTTCAAGATTGCTAATTAGGGTGATTGTCATGATAAGTTTTGTATCATCTGTTTTTACTTTCGGTAAATAAACATTTTCTTCGTAAAGTTGAACAAATATTATTATTATATATCCCACGAATATCACAGGTACGTCGACCACATCATCGATGTCGCAGTGTGATGTATTTGTAATATGAAATGTACACTTGTGTGTGACCTGGTAGTGATTTTTCATGTGATGTCGCAGTTCATGTCTGAACGACGTCACAGTGATGTTGCTCGAGTCGGACATTTTCACATCGCCACGTTGTATCGGTAACATGTTTGTGACTTCAAATGCGATATCGCATGTCACAAAGTGATGTGGCGTGTACATCACTTATACATCTCATGGTTGGCTGGGTTGTGAAGTTTATGAAAAAACATTTTTCTCAGAGAGCCTAAAATAAACATTCATTTGCTTGTCAGTGACACTTTGTATTGAAAAAAAAGATTTGGAGAAGAGAAAAATAGGTATATAGAAAACATACCAAATTTTCATTGAGATTTGGACGTTTCGGGGACGAATCTGCAGCCGTCTTCAACATAAAAATGGAAAATATTTTTCTTTTAGGCTTTTTGTTAGAGAAATGTTTAAAATATAGTGACATTTTGGGACAACCCATCCGGTTTGTCCTCACTACATATATATTGATATAAAACTCATATTTTTATTTTATAGAAACAAGGAGAAAAGCTTAAAAAATCTGGAATAACGAATACAGGGTATAATTAGAAAAACTAAAGTTGGCACCATTTTCTGTTACCGGAATTGGCTCGGGAATTGGAGATTATCATGTGAATATATCTAATAGTAAGATTCATATCATTTGTGGGGTGTTCCTGTAATGAAATGTGACAGTACTTATTTCAACCATTTCATTTATCACCCCAATTTCGGAAACACCCTGATTATAACTGAGGTCACGTGATTTTGCAAAAAATGAAGAAATATGATCAGCAAGTATCAAAACATAACATAGGAGAAAAATAGAGGATTATTTTATGAATAAACCCCACTGTTTATAATTTGTTAATATGTAAGAAGGATTCCTCATATTTTGGGGCAGAGTTAGCTATATTTTGAAAAATTATCACAGAAGTTTTTTCCTCAAGAGTGGGTCATAATTTGGTGATAACTCACATATCCCACTAGGAAAGTAAATAACTATACATAATGATTATTAGAATCTAATTTTCAATTCTTCTTCAACCCAAACTATTACATTTGCAAAACAATCATCAGTTGTACCTATCTGTACAAAACATACATCATGGATGTTATTTCATAGTATAAGAAACATAATTATTATTCATGTTTGGAAATATGAAAACAAATCTGGAAAGCCAGAAGTCATAAAAATAATATACCAAAACTATTAATCAATTATTGATAAGATTGCTTAAAAAAATCAGGTCCTACAAACCACAAAAATAACAGACACATGACATAGGAAATACACAGTCATGAGTAAAACTAAAACAATTAACACAACATTTCCTGTCCACTACAGTTGTTAAAACAATTGTTTCTTGTAAAATGGATTCAATGGGGATGGTGTCATACTTGCTTTCAATAATGGCTTGGAAGGTTTCCTACTGGCATCATAGGGAATGCCAGGAGAACTCAAAATTTGTGCTTCATGTTCATGTATCTCTTGTGACTTATTCAGTTGCATATTGATTTTAACCTTCTTTGTGGAACTGCTTGGAGTACTTGTCATAGAAAAAGGATTCTTAACTAAACCGGATTCCAGGCTCAACCTAGACTTTCCCTTTATGGATTTCAGAGGAGTGTTACTGTGTTTATTCTGTTGGGAGGCTGATTTATTCAGTTTTTTCAAATGTTTTTTGGCATGTATAAATACTTCATATTCACCCTCTTTGAGTGGTTCATCCCAACTTGATTTAGGAAATGGTTTTATACTTTTCCTAGTAGATTTACTCTTGGGTGAATTCTTGGAGCTCTCTGTCAAATTATTAGTATCTTCAATTTTTTTTGGGGAACCTATAACTTGAATTACTTCTGGTTTGAAATCAGAACTGTTGGAATATCCTGAATTACTTGGTGGTTCTACCTTTGATGACTTATCAGGCATAACTGAAAGTGCTGAAATTGCCTGATTTTTATTAATTTCCTTGTCAACTTCAAACACCACCCAAGTCCCAGAATTTCTCTCAAAAACACATTCTATATTATCATTATCAGGCAAGTGTCCATTTCGATTCTTGATCTTTACTGATTGTTTTACACCTTTAGTTAAATGGTTTTTAGATTTTTTTGTAGCTTTGATGGTGTTTTTTTCCTTAGACAATTTTTTGCTGGTTGTAGTTTTCCTCAAATTATTAGTTTTCTCAACAGCTTCATTGATGTTCAACTCTTTCATCTTTTTTTTATTTTTGGATTTGTCATCAATTTTCCTCAGTTTTCCTTGGATTTCATCATCATTCTCTTTATCATGTTTTCGTTTTTTATTCTTCCCCAACAGTTTTTGCTCAAATTTTATAAGCCTATTTGCTGCTTTCCTTATATTGGTATCAGGTTGATTCATGTCACTCCTCTCAATTTTCTTGATTCCTAATGGATATTCCCCATTAGCTAATTTAGTGAACTGTTCAATCAGTACATTAATAATTTTTCTTGATTGTGTTGTACTATTTTTATGGAATTTTGATTCAGAAAGTGCAGCTACAATGCTTTTTGGATTGAATTTGATCTGAGGTAATTCAACATTAACTCTACCAGCTCTAGGATCCAAAGTATTTTCCAGTCTATTTTCAGAGGTTTCATCTTCATCATCTGAAGACATTCTTTCATCTTCATCCAAGGTGATTTTTTGCATGGAAGCAATACTTCCAGGGAAACCTTGGGCTTTCCAAGCATCATATTTTTCTTGATATTCAAGACCCAAATTTGACTGTCTTATCAGGTATGTAAAAATGTGTTTTCTTAAATAGCCTAAATGACGTCCATCATTTGAGGCAGTCATATTCATGATAAATGGGCATAGTATCTCTACTAAACGATCATTGTGGATCTGCCCTCTAGAAACTTTGGCAAGTTCCTCTAAAAAAATTTCTGTGAAATGCATAAAGAGCCCTATAGGCTGTTTAACAGTGGTACTGAGAATAGTTTGAGATAGAGCATCACTGAATTGAACAACAAGTGGTCTCCTGAACTTAGAATTTCTCAAGACAATCAACATTTCTCTTAGAAGTCTTCTCACTAACATCAGAAATTTATCAAGGCGCAGCTGGTCTATTCCAAACCACTCATTGATGAGTATGATAAGACCAGCCTTGAAGAAGAGAAGTGACGCATCTACTGTAGGTAAATGGATAAGCTTGGTAATGGTATCAGCACATTCTTCCTGGACTAATGGCTTATCAGACATCCACATGCAATAAAACAATCCCTTCCATATTACCTGGAAATCTTCTTCAGTGAATGGTACAATTCCTGACCTTTTTGTAAACCATTTTTTGAGGTTCTTCAGAGTTTTTTTTCTTGTACTCTCATCGTTTGCAGCCAACTCTTTCGCCAATTTTAACTCATGGGTAAGCAAATATATCTTTTTGTCAACAACTTTCATTGTTTTTTCCTTAACCGGTTTATGCAGATCCATCAAAACTGCCATATTCAATCAAAATTACGGGATTATCTCGAATTAAAAAACTAGAACTACTTGGAACTTTAGTCTAGTGAAGCATTTTTTCTTCCACATTTGTGGATTTGTGAGTACAGAATTGTGAGGTTAGGGTTAAAATAATGTCAAGATTGTCAAGTCAAGAAAACAGATGATCAGTGTTGCCAGACATATTTTCATTTTGTACCAACCTATCAGAAAAAATGTACTACATTCAACACGGACAGATCCTCGTCTTGTTTTTTGTGTGTTTTTTAGGTTATATTTCATTGGCGTACCATACGTAATTTCCATATGGGATTCCTGAATCAACTATACCAAGATATAGTTGAACAAACTTCTAGTTTAAGAGTTTACTACTCCAGCATAATCTTTGCGAGGTAGGGAACATATAATTTGTACTAAATAATAATTATAATATTTCACCAAAAGATACTGTTCCTAGACTGTATACCATGGTTGACTGAATTGACTGAATGAGTTCTGATTTCAAGCTGAGCAGTAGTTTAACTATGAGCTGAATGAGCTGAGTCCGTACCGACAGATCATAGCTGCATTCTTTTTTGACAAATACGTCAATTTACATCAAGGGACCCTAGTTTGAAGTAGTACTGCTGAGTATTGGCTGAGTAGTAAGTCTCTACGAAATGTCGGATGTTTTTGCAACTCATTTCAATACCAATTTTCAGTACCTCTGTATAAGTTAACAAAGCGAATTATTTAATCCTAAATAAATACGATATTTTAAATTATTTATGTTGAGCCACAGTATATCTTCTATCATACTTTGATTATGATAGTTCATTATTTAAAATGAACATATATGTGTAGCCATCTGTGGGTTATAGTAAGAAAGTGGAACTGGAATAAAATTAACGTTTCGAGATCCCTGCGTGTATGATCGTATTCACCGTATTTCAATAGTGGCAACTGTCTAATAAATCCTGTTGTATAGAAAAGTCATTGAATTTTCGTTGGTCATAAGTGGATCCATCAATTTTTGTATATTTTGGACTCTAGGATTTTCGTAACCTGGTGTACTGTTTTGTGGAAATTGTGAGTCAATGGTAAAAGAATATCAAAATGAACGTAATCATCTTATCACTATCACACATTTCAGTGCATAAAAATGACCAGAAAAGATCTCCCTACCTCTGATGGCAAAAGAAATCTAGAATAATGTGTAGCAACTGCATTATTCATTTATGTTAGTCAAAGAAATGTTATTGTTTTGTTACTTATCATTTATCTTTGAATGTGAACAATAAATGGCCAGTAAAATATCATTTATATGCTTTTGATAATAATAAGATCTCTTTTTATTTCATATAATATTTTCATAGAATTTTTACTCCGTTTGCTCACACTGTCCTCATTTGGGGACATGCCCTAGAGTTCTTAGGAACATTTCAAACATGAACAAATATATATTAAAAAATTGCATAAAATTCATACATACTGTATAAAAATATTCAGAATTTTAAATTCATGAATCCTAATTCGTGAGCGAGAGGGTTAACTCATAACAAAATGGCGAATATTTTTGCAACTTGTTGATTGCATTAATATCCATCAGATCCTCTGTATAAATGGGACAGGAAAGCGAATTTCAAAATTTTTTCACCGGTATATGGAAATATACCGAAGCAAACTACGAACCATGTGCTGAATGCCTCCATATATATTGTACAAAAACACTTACCATCTCGAAAAAATACAACTTTCACACACTCAAATGAAAAAACAATCACTAAGCCAAATGTGAATTCCAATTTTCCACTCTTAAATACTTCGAGTTCTTTTTTATTATCACTTTAAACGACCGAACGCGATGAAGTCTAGAGCGAGACTGCTGATTGGTTTGATTCATAATTCAAATGACTAATCAGTTACGTCATCCTTTCAACCGACTAATTCCCAAAGAAGTATGACTGATTCCGATATCGATAGTAGGTATACGGGGTGGAGTGAAAAAAAATTAATAATATTTTCTTTCATTTTCTTATCTATACGAGGTGTTTATGAAATGAGTTCATATAAATAAGCGGACCGATGAGATGTAGGCTAACAGATATTTCCATGATATCAGATTTTTGCTAATTCTTCTAAAGAATGCGACATTTGCTACGTTGTAGTACTTTGAGTGTTAGTTTTTTTATGGGCGCCCTTCAATAGTTTTCGTCGAAATCATTTGGGATTTGAAATATTTGTATTTATGTCATTGTCTCCTGTCACCCTATATATTAGGTTGAGTTAGGTTAGATTTTTAATGTTTAATTTACGAATTGAATATTGTTAAGTTTCGGAGCTTCAGCACGATTTTCGCTGTTGCGTTCCAATCAATAGTGCTGCTTCTAGTGTTACATATAGTCAATAATGATCCCAATTGATTAAAACTACCCTTCTATACCCCGAAGTGCATACATGAATGAATACAATTTAGTCGAATGGTTTTAAAACAATATTAAAGCACCAGAATCCCCCATATTAATGACTTTTGCAATGTTGGCAGACGTTGATTGATAATTAAAAGCTGGTATAGGTAGAGGTAGAACATATTTTTGATTGCTTCAAATTAATTTTGTCTTGTGATTTACTGTGTCGTTGGTTTTTCTTTGTTTCCAATCTATAAGCTGATCGAATGAATGATGCAATGAGTAATACATGTGAGGTGTGTTTGATGAAAACATTATTCATGATTGAAATTTTTGTTTTCTAATTTGTTCTTCGGCGTTCCAAAATTCCTGCCTAGCCTTGAATTGCTCCATAGTGACATCGTGAAGGTCTCTTTCGGATGGAAGGTCACCACCGTACTCTTTTGGCAGACACTTCTTTGGAACCCATTCGAAAAATGTCTCTTGCTCCATATTTGCAGGATGGAAATGTAACTGTAAATAACATACAGAGAAGTGTACAAAAAACGGCCAGGACTGTGACTTTTGAAATATTCGAGATAGGGTTTTGAAAATTGGTGGGTAGCAAGTATAACAAATTTCTCATTAATTGATGGAAACATTTTTCTTTCATCACTTCCAGTGTCACCGGAAACGACCCCAACTTTGATTTTTGAATGGGGCACACACTGTATTGTATTCCATAATCGGTTAGGGATTATCATGACGAATTTAACGATACCGGGTTTGATAGGGTTATTATAAACGATAACAAAGATATTTGCGTTCGAAGTTTCCGTATGCTCAATGGGTGTGACTTCGCAATATCAAAACTTCTTTCTCTGTCACACTCATTGAGCATATGGAAACTACGAACGCGAATATCTGCGTAATCGTTTGAAATAACCCTATCAAACTTGGTATCGTTGAATTCGTTATGACAATCCCTAACCGATTATGGAATACAATACAGGGTGTCCCATTTACAAATCAAAAGCTGGGGTCGTTTCCAGTAAAACCGGAAGCGATAGTACAAAAATTGTTCGTCAATTAATAAACAATTCGGTATACTAGCTGTCCACCAACTTTCAAAACCCTATCTCGGATAATTCGAAAGTTACAGAGTCCTGGCCGTTTTTTGTGCACTTCTCTGTATTTTAAGCAGTATCTAAACTACGCAACACTAATTTTGTCGCACCCCAAAATCTTGCCCCTGTGAAATATAATAGTTATTTATTTATACAAGGCAAAAGCGGAGGGAGACAAAAAACCGTGAGCAAATACCTAATACTTTCCCCGTGTATAATACACTATTTTTTTCTGTGAGAGGACAGAGAACGATTCAATATTGAAAAGTAATAACATTGCAAATAAATATGTACAAATGAGAAAAAACCAACTACTTTCCATGCTAATTCCACGCAGTAGGTACATTGAATTACATCCTCCCGAAATCTATGCATCGATACGTATGAACGAATACTTATGCATAAGTGTTTCTTTCCCTAATGCAAATTGATTTTGATTTAGCCAGGTTAAGGCAACGACACCTACAGACCGGTTTCGAGCTTCTTGAATCTTATCAGTGTGTCACTATCTGGATTAATTGACTGGCAATGCACACACAATTTGAAATTAATAAGCATAATTATTAATCAAATTAATGTCCATCACGAATTGATTGAGTATCTACATATTTCCTATCATGGAGAAAACTTTCATTGATATTTTTCCTGACTGCACCAGAGAAGCAGGGGGGGGGAGACAAGCGCCCACCCCTGCCCCTCCCTGGATACGCCCATGGTGGGACCCCCAACTATTCTCAAATAGATTGCGTTATCGCATGAACATATACAGGGTGTTTCTTAAGTACGTGTAGAAAATTCAGGAGCATGTCGCTGACGTCAAAATGAGAAGAAAACTTCGTATAAGTATATGTCCGAAAGTTATCAGTTTCTGAGATACAGATTGTCAAAGTTGAATTTTTATTTTCGTTTTTTATTAATAAATTTCAAAATAATTGTGATATTCGTATAAAGTTTGGTATCTAGGGGTATTTTTCAATGACAATATCAAATTTCATGTTAGTTTGTCTCTTTCGTGGGGGTGGCGCCACCTACATTACTTTTGAGTCTTTTGAAAAGTCATACTTTTTTTGTGCGTACCTGTATCACGTTTTATTGTTGGAAAATAGATTTCTAGAAAAGTTTTCTGTAAAAAATATATTCCTGGTAGAGGTCGTTGCAAGCAACTGTTTTCGAGTTTTTTGGGATTTGAAATAATCGAAGCATTTGAATTATTTACCTCCATTAAGCTAGCAGAACCACTTTGAATTTTTCAATTTTTTCTTCGACCATAATTTTAGGCTAATTTAAGGCTAATTTATTACCCTATTGCCGAATTTATTGCTCTTCGATTTATGTAAAAAAACGTGGGTTCTGCTAGCTTAACGTTAAGCTAGCAGAACCACTTCGTAAATAAAAGTTCAATCACAAAACTAATTATGTCATAATTTAAGGCTAATTTTAGGCTCCAATCCTAACCTATTGCCAATTTTTTCGCACATTGTTTTTTTAAAAAAATCATGGGTTTTGCTAGCTTAACCGTTAAGCTAGCAGAACCAAATCTCAAATAGAAGGAATATGAGAATATCGAGTGCACCATAATTTCAGGCTAATTTTAGGCTCTTCGTTGAACCTATTATCGATTTTTTTGAAAATCATTTTCTGCAAAAAATTTCCCAAATCCAACATGAACATGACAAACCAGTAGCAAACCAAAAAAAACTTCAATCACAAACCTGATTATGCCATAATTTCAGACTAATTTAAGGCTCTGATCCTAGCCTATTGCCAATTTTTTCGCACATTGCTTTTTTAAAACAATCATGGGTTTTGCTAGCTTAACCGTTAAGCTAGCAGAACCAAATCTCAAATAGAAGGAATATAAAAATATTGAGTACACCATAATTTAAGGCTAATTTTAGGCTTTTCGTTGAACTTATTATCGATTTTTTTGAAAATCATTTTCTGCAAAAAATTTCCCAAATCCAACATGAACATGACAAACCAGTAGCAAACCAAAAACAACTTCAATCACAAACCTGATTATGTCATAATTTCAGACTAATTTAGGGCTCTGATCCTAGCCTATTGCCAATTTTTTCGCACACTGATTTAAAAAAAAATCATGGGTTTCGCTAGCTTAACCGTTAAGCTAACATGTGAACATGACAAACCAATAGCAAACCAAACAAAGTTTAATCACGAAACTGATTATGCCATAATTTAGGGCTAATTTTAGGCTCTAATCCTAGCCTATTGCCAATTTTTTCGCACATTGTTTTTTAAAACAATCATGGGTTTTGCTAGCTTAACCGTTAAGCTAGCAGAACCAAATCTCAAATAGAAGGAATATAAGAATATTGAGTGCACCATAATTTAAGGCTAATTTTAGGCTCTTCGTTGAACCTATTATCGATTTTTTGAAAAATCATTCTCTGCAAAAAATTCCCAAATCCAACATGAACATGACAAACCAATAGCAAACCAAAAAAACTTCAATCACAAACCTAATTATGCCATAATTTCAGGCTAATTCAAGGCTCTGATCCTAGCCTATTGCGAATTTTCTCGCACACTGTCTTTTATAAAAAATCATGGTTTTGCTAGCTTAACCGTTAAGCTAGCAGAACCAAATCTCAAATAGAAGGAACATAAGAATATTGAGTGCACCATAATTTAAGGCTAATTTTAGGCTCTTCGTTGAACCTATTATCGATTTTTTTGAAAATCATTTTCTGCAAAAAAAATTCCAAATCCAACAGGAACATGACAAACCAGTGGCAAACCAAAAAAAACTTCAATCACAAACCTGATTATGCCATAATTTCAGACTAATTTAAGGCTCTGATCCTAGCCTATTGCCAATTTTTTCGCACACTGTTTTTTATAAAAAATCATTGGTTTTGCTAGCTTAACCGTTAAGCTAGCAGAACCAAATCTTAAATAGAAGGAATATAAGAATATTGAGTGCACCATAATTTAAGGCTAATTTTAGGCTCTTCGTTGAACCTATTATCAATTTTTTTGAAAATTATTTTCTGCAAAAAATTTCCCAAATCCAACATGAACATGACAAACCAGTAGCAAACCAAAAAAAAAACTTCAATCACAAACCTGATTATGCCATAATTTCAGACTAATTTAAGGCTCTGATCCTAGCCTATTGCCAATTTTTTCGCACACTGATTTAAAAAAAAATCATGGGTTTCGCTAGCTTGACCAATAAGCTAACATGTGGACATGACAAACCAATAGCAAACCAAACAAAGTTCAATCACAAAACTAATCATGCCATAATTTAGGGCTAATTTTAGGCTCTAATCCTAGCCTATTGCCAATTTTTTCGCACATTGTTTTTTTAAAACAATCATGGGTTTTGCTAGCTTAACCGTTAAGCTAGCAGAACCAAATCTCAAATAGAAGGAATATAAGAATATTGAGTGCACCATAATTTAAGGCTAATTTTAGGCTCTTCGTTGAACCTTTTATCGATTTTTGAAAAATCATTTTCTGCAAAAAATTCCCAAATCCAACATGAACATGACAAACCAATAGCAAACCAAAAAAACTTCAATCACAAACCTAATTATGCCATAATTTCAGGCTAATTTGAGGCTTTGATCCTACCCTATTGCCAATTTTTTCGCACATTGTTTTTTTAAAAAAATCATGGGTTTTGCTAGCTTAACCGTTAAGCTAGCAGAACCAAATCTCAAATAGAAGGAATATAAAAATATTGAGTACACCATGATTTAAGGCTAATTTTAGGCTCTTCATCGAACCTATCATCGATTTTTTTGTTGATCATTTTCTGCAAAAAAATTCCCAAATCCAACATGAACATGACAAACCAATAGCAAACCAAAAAAAAATTCAATCACAAAACTAATTATGCCATAATTTAAGGCTGGTCTAAGGCTTTAATCCCAGCCTAATGCCAATTTTTTTGCACATTGCTTTTTCAAAACAACTATGGGTTTTGCTAGCTTATAGGAGCTATGAGAACCAAATCTAAAATAGAGGAAATATAAGAATATTGAGTACACCATAATTTATGGCTATTCTAAGGTTATTGAAAAGGGATATTCTCAGATATATTCATGAACACAAAAATTGATATATAATTATATATATATATATATAAAGAAATAAATTGAGAATTCGCATTCTCCATGTGATGAAAATATTAATTCTTTCTCGGTGTATTCAACAGAAAACAACTACTTTCCTGACTTTATGCCACGACGTTAATTATATTATGATGATATAATGATTGCTCAGTCAATTCTGTGAGAAATACATTCATGATTCCAGATAGGTATTTCGTATGCAAGATTTTATGTTGATGTTGAAAATATTCGATTTTACCATGATTGTTACCCTGATTATAAATACTTTTTTTTGCATATGACTGCGGATTAGCTCTAGGAA